CCGGGCCCGGAGGGAGCCAGAACCGCCCTCCCAGCACACGGTCCCCTGGCTCCGTTGGCTTGGGTGCTCTTGACGGAGCTTTTCAAAGCAGGGAGGAACAACGTGCGTCCCGGCTGAGTCCTGGCGAAGGCCCCCACGGCACAAGACCCCAGGCAAGGGCAAAGGGGCAGCGAAGACGCTGCCAAGTGGCACCGGGACCCTGCCGCTTGCTGCGGGCGCTTCGTGCCGTCATCTCCGCGTCCTGAACCATTTCTCCTACTATTCAGACTAAAATTGTTCTGTGTTTAAGCTTCAGAACCATTTATCTCATTGAGTGAGGAGGATAATCCACCCACCTCTTCCTCGTTCCCTGGCAGGTATTTATAGGCAGCCACTCGTCTCCCGTCGGCAACTGCCGCTCCTCTCCCCAAACCTCCCCAGCTCCATCCCCAACACCGCAGAGCAGCTCCTGGGAGGACGGCATCCGCATCCAGAGCCTGGCATCCCTTATCTGGAGCCTGGCATCCCTTACCCAGAGCCCGGCATCCCATATCCAGAGCCTGGCATCCCATTATCTGGAGCCTGACATCCCTTATCCAGAGCCTGGCATCCTTTACCCAGAGCCCGGCATCCCATATCCAGAGCCTGGCATCCCATTATCTGGAGCCCGGCATCCCTTATCCAGCGCCCAGCATCCCTTACCCAGAGCCCGGCATCCCATATCCAGAGCCTGGCATCCCATTATCTGGAGCCTGACATCCCTTATCCAGAGCCTGGCATCCTTTACCCAGAGCCCGGCATCCCATATCCAGAGCCTGGCATCCCATTATCTGGAGCCCGGCATCCCTTATCGTCTGGACACGCCGCGGCTTGGAAATTAAGAGGGGAAGGGGGGAAAAAAAACCACCCCCTCCAGAACACAACCCGGTCACTGAGCGGGGTCAAAGGGAAAGGGTTTTGGGCTGAGCCCGACACAGGGGTCTCTGCGGCGAGGCGGCATGCTGGAAGCCCGGCGAGGGGCCCGGATTCGCGCCATGGGCTGCGCTGGGGCAAGGAATTGGGAAGACAAAGGGAAAAGCCACGCGGGGCAGGGTTGGGGTCTCTACAAGACCCAGACTCCTCTTTAGAGAGGGGAGAAATGAGAAATAGGCAGCAGCAGGGTGGGCGCAGGCAGACGGTGCCCTGCCCCGGCGGGCGCCCTGGCCGCACCATGGATGTTTTGCAGAGCTTTGATCTCCCCCCATCCCCATCCCCAAATCCTCCCGCTGCTGCGACGCTCACTACAACGGCAGCGTGCTCGTTCATTAGGGTGTAATTGGCAGCAGTTATTAGCAGGTAACACTGACGCCCCCCCAGCCCCACAAGCTGGAGGCCGGGGCCCCCGTGGGGGAGGA